GAATGATTGACATATACTCTCCTGCTTGAGGGGGAGTGTTAGAGATAAAAGCCCATAGTCCTATCCTGATTGTTAGCCTTGATTATAGGAGATTTTAAATGGATACTTTCCTATCTTATCTGCCTAGATTATCTTCTTTGATTCTGGTTCATTAATATTGATTGTAATCACCGGATTATTCTCCTCTTAGTGAGATAACCAAATGCCTATATATTGTAATGCTTTCTTATCAATAAAATATACGAGTGAATCATTAAGCATAGCAAACAGTTACACCAACATATCAAGTAAAATAATTTTTTCTCTTTCTTTCAATTGCTTTTCACAAACACTCAAGCCTAGCTATCACCATCAAATTCAATTAGATAGATAAGTTCATACGGGAGTACATGCAGGAGGCTTTTGCTTTTAAATCCACATCACGGGATCCTAGAATTAGCCTAAGTTATAAGTTATCTTATGATCGTGTTTAGGACACTGACGATTAATTCACATACTTTATCTATTGTTAAAGGAAGAAGATGCCACCTAGGGATAGAATAATAACTCAAAGGATTGCTGCTGATACAGCATCTAACCTATCTCATGGTACTGCTTTGCCTCTAAAAAATTGAGGACGAGGAAGGGGTAGAGGTTCGGGACGTGGCGCGAGTCATTGATCTGACGATAACCATATAGTTCATCCTGATGAAGGAGTGTAAGATGTGGGCCTTGAGACTAGGGAGGGAGAGACTACTTTAGAAAATGTTATTGCTGAATTTTCTGAGACATGACAAGCTATGTAAGAAATGATGAGAATGCTAGCCTAAGAGCAGCAAAACAATAGCAACAAGGAGTTAAGCTAATGAATGAGCAAGAAACTCAAATAGCAACAACACAAATGGTAGCTCAAAGAGGAGAGGTTTTTTTGCTTAACTTCACAAAGCTTAAACCTCTTTCATTTTCTAGTACAGTTATAACTAAGAATCCACATGACTTCCTGGATAAGAACTTTCAACTTTTTAGAGCATTGAGGTGTTCATCAATTAGGATTACTCAACATGCTGAATTTCACTTGAAAGAAAACGCTAGATAATGGTATGAAGTAATGATAATGAGAATGCCACGAGAATCACCCCTATTGAATAGGGAGGAATTTAACCAGCCATTCATAAGATGAATCCTACCATAAACTTTTATAGATGCTAAGGCAAGGGAGTTTGCAAGGCTAAAGAAAGCAAATAAAGAGACTGTTAATGATTATGAAGTGAAGTTCACTAAATTGTCCTGCTATACCTCCCACTTAGTAGCTACAGAAGAGATGCGAGTCAAACAATTTGTCCAAGGACTAGCAGATTATTTGTTCCGATCAGTGTCTAAAACTTGCTATGAGTCTTATGAAGACGTAGTTGAAAGTGCCAGAGTCTTCGAAATTAGAGTAATAGAAAGTAGGAGCAATTATAAACACACCAACGTGTAGAGACTATAGTAGGCAACAAGCAAAGTTTGGGTGATAATAGTATTGGTATAGGGACACTTCAGGCTATCAGGGTCACAGTAAGCCCTACCAATAGCAAAAAGCTCAAAATTTGTATTATTCATTGGGAAATCGAAGTAATCAGCCACAAAGACCCCAACTGAACAGCAATGTAGGAGGGAATCTTGGAAATCCCTTATTTGGTCTAAGACGTGGCAAATTCCATACTGGTATTTGCCTTGGAAAAGCGTGTTATCACTGTGAAGTACTGAGTCATACCAGGAAAGACTGTCTAATGATAACAACACAATAAATGCTTCCTCAAGTAGCTAGCCCTACAACATTACCACCACTAATGCCAGTAATGCCAGTGGTATCTATGAAACAGATTGGAATACAGCCAACACGGAGATTTGGTAGGGGATAACCTTATGACAGAGGGTTTAGTGGCCAAAATCAAAGCCAAACTATAAGGGCACTAGCTTGAGTTTTTGTTATGACCTATCCAAATGCCCAAGTGTCAAATGAAGGGGTTACAGGTATACTCCTTATTTGTACTTTTGATGCCTATGTCTTGTTTGATCCTAGAGCTACACGCTCTTCTATATCCTCATTCTTTGCCTTGAGATTTAGGAGGGATGCAATGCTGTTAGATGAGCTTTTAGTAGTAGCCATACCTGGAGGAGATTTAATTATAGCAAATCAAGTATATAAGCCGTGTAAAGTCTCTATAAAATGTAATAAATCATCAGTTGATTTAGTAGCCCTAAAAATGGTGGATTTTGATATGATTTTATTTATGAATTAGTTAACTGCCAGAATAAAGAGGTGCATCTGAAGACACTTAAGGGGGAGACATTTACCTTTCAAGGTATTCGGAGTTTAAAGACACTTAATCTAATATCAGTGTTTGGGGCTAGGAGGTTGTAAAGAAAAGGATGTAAGGGGGTATTTAGTAGTGGTTAAAGACATACAGATAGCAGAAATGAGTTTGAAAAGTGTACAGTTCCCAGATGTCTTCCCTGGAGACTTACCCTGTTTACCTCCTAAGTGAGAAGTCGAGTTGTACATCGATTTAGTCCTTGACACCTAATTTATATCCATACCCCCATACAAAATGGCCCCTACGGTATTAACAAAATTGAAAGACCAACTGCAAGACCTCAATGACAAAGATTTCATGCACCCTAATTTATCTCCATGGGTCATTCGTGAAAAAGAAAGATGGCTCGATGTAATTGTGCATTAAATAGGCAATTAAACAAGGTAACAATAAAGAATAAGTACCCATTACCATGTATTGATGACTTGTTTGATCAATTTCAAGGTGCCTAATGCTTTTTAAAGATTGATTTGAGATTAAGGTATCATTAATTGAGGATTAGAAAAGGAGATATCTTGAAGAATGCCTTTAGGACCCATTAGCTTTTAATGATGTCATTTGGGCTTGCAAATGCCCTAGTGGCTTTTATGGATATGATGAATAGAGTTTTCAAGCCATTTTGGATTGTTTTGTGATTGTGTTCATTGATAACATTATCTTTTACTCAAAAAGTATGAAAGAGCATGAATAACATTTACGATTGACCTTATAGACTTTGAGGGAAAATCAAGTATATGCTAAATTCTCTAAATGTGGTTCGAGTTAGACAATATAGCATTTGTTGGGCACACAATGTGTAACATTCTAAAAATCTTAACCCTACAAATAAGAGAATTAAACAGATCAAGGGCCAGTTAAGGCAGAGGAAAATATGGCTAGTAAATTGTTGAATTTAAATTACAATTAGTGACCAGACTGATATTTTAAATATAAGTTAAAGGAGGATTTAATTGGGATGTCAAGTTAGAAATTCCCAAAAATTCCCAACAAATCATGGAAAATGAAAATAAGAGTCAATGAACAATATTTAAGGTCTCATAGGAATTATTGGAAGGAAAATAGATAAATATAGAATTTTCTATATTTATAGGAATTTTTTGTTACACCGGGTAATTGTAACCAAAAGTTAATTATGAAAAATATTTAGAGGCCTTAGTAATTCCGGAAAAAATGTGAAAAAATATCTTGGAGGATTATAATAATTTATAAAATTATTCTAGACTTCAATTGATGAGGATGTTAGCTTTAATAATATTTAAAGGCGATTTTTTGTCGGTAAAGTACTGATTTTGGAAAAAATGGAATCTAGAAAATTCTTGAGGGAATTAAATTTAAAGAAAAATCATGAGACTTTCCTACACTATGAGAAGGCTAACAGTGTGTTGAGATGAATTTTTTGAGACAGTAAAATTGATAGGATAAGAAAAAATTCATGAGGCACTATATCACTATTCAATATAATGTAAGGATAACCAAGGAAGTAGAAAATTTTGCAAAAATTCCCCGCCCATCAGGCCCAAAAATCACGACTAATTAGACCCAAAAAAGGGAAAATATTTAAATAAAAATGAAAAGAAAATAGAGTTTCTAGAAGGTAACTAAGAAAAGTTAATCTTGGATCGAGGAAAGTTAACTGTTACACCTTACTTCTATAATACTTTAGAGTCCATTTTATATGAAATTAGATCACTTTTCATGGCCTTAACCTCAAGAAAAATAGATTTAGAATGTTGCTTTACGGATTCACTGTTCACCTGCTAATTCCAGAATTTCTGTCCAACTTTGAAAATTTGTAATTAATTCTAGAAAAATATAAACAAAGTGTTTCCAAGTCCTACTAAAAGCTCTTTAGAGGAAAAATAATTTTAGGAACCAATTTGGTGTGAAACAGTACCAAATTTGTACAGAAGTTACTACTATTCTATTGGTCAAGAATTTTTTTCTAGATTTCAAATCCTAATTTTAAAAAATCACCATAAATCGTGTGTGTGTATATATATATATATATATATATCCAAATTGAACATTCTACATATTGATTTAAAGCTTAAGACATGAATTATAACCATGACACATTTCAAAATTTAATATGAACCAAAACTTAGTCAAGTTATAGCTCTAAGATAACATCTTAAAGGATTACAGTTGTAACATCCTACTCTATACACCTAGATGAAAGCAAATTTAAAAACTATAGTTGAGAGTTTACACTAAAAAGGTGCTATTTTTAAAACTTTTTATCTACTTTGACTCAAAACTTATAATTTTAAACTTTGAAAGTTTTATACAATATAATAAGACCTTACCCAATAGCAATAACAATTTATCAGAGCTATACAGATGTTACTTCAGAAAACTCTACTTTTCTGTTTCAGCTCTAATAAATCATACTTTGTAAATCCTAAACCATTCATACTATATATGTCATTAATATATGCATATATGTATGCTAAGTACCCAGTTATGCTAAGCTACCCCCCAAACACTCCTCCTTATGGAGGTACATACATCCTATAAGTGGAAATTACATAACCTCACCAAAATTGAAATATAAGCATCACAAAAGGAAAGGGGAAAACAAACATTCAAGATTAATTAACTAACTAAACACTAAGCTCTTCTCTCCTTCAACCTTAACTAAGCTTCCACTGGCTTCTTTTTTCCTTTGGATGAACTGGGCCCTATGGTTAAATAGAAAGGAGGGGTGAGATTCAAAGAATCCCAATAGCAATAATCATATTTCATATATTATGCATGGTATAAAACTGAGCATGCAAAAAAAGCCATGGAGAACAACACCTTACAAAATAACTAAACTAAATAACTAACTGAGGCATACTCGTTGTGTTTTAACTAAATCTCATATAACTGTTGCACATAACTGAGTAACTGAATAACTGAGCAGCTACTAACTGATTAACTGAGATTAACTGAGCATATACATATTGATTAACTGAACAGCTGCTAACTGATAACTGAATAACTGAGCTGTTGCTATCTGATTAACTGTATAACTGTGTAGTTGCTATCTGATTAACTGAATAATTGTGCAGCTGTTAACTGATTAACTGTTAAATGCACATATACTGGACAGCGAAATGCATGCACATGGCCATGCCACTAACTGGTAAGGCAATTTACATGTTCTCATGCTTAACTATAGCATTATGGCACAAATAGATATGCAACCAAGACAAAACATATAAAATAATGATTAAAGCTACCTTCCACCTGCTCTCCTTCGCAGGTACCTTGCTCTTGGTTTCTTCTTGGTAAGCTAGGACGCCAATTAAATCCTAACATTACAAGTACATATATAGGGTGAGTTAAAATTGAGATTTTGGTTAATCCATAACTAGCCAAACCTCTTTATAACCCCCGCTCAGGTGTACTCTCTTCTCTTAAGGTGGCTGGTCATCTCGGCCCAAAATTTATACTTCATCCACGTATTTCCAAAGGTTTCTAACACTTCCCCTTTCTTATGTTTCTCTTAACTTCCTATTCTATTATGATTTAGCTAAGACAGTACAATTTAACTTAGTTATTAACTCTTCATGCTTCTTAAATAATTGCTTAGCATCCAAGAACACAAAACAACAAACTTAAATCATCGTTCAAATACTCTTCGATCATAAATAGCTATATAGAATATTAACTTGACATTTAGAGATGTTTAAAAGGAAAATCAAATTAGTTCTTGAGGTCTAATTCACTCTTATACATTTCACAAACATGGATGGTTTCATCAATCATTTTGGTTTCCTTTATTATCTGTTTTGAACATTTAATCTCACTCACATAGCTAAGAATAACAGTTTAACATCTAAACATATAATTCAGCGACTATATTTGAGCATTTGTTTAACACTATATATCAGCAACTTTATCCTTATAAATACCAAAGAGCAACTTCTGTTGGATCTTTAGCTCTAAGCCTTTTATTCTCTTCATTATATTAAGCCTTTAATAATTCACACATTGTCATTCTTAATAAAACAGTGACTGTCTTATGTTCTTGATCTTTAAATTACAGAACATGAGATTGTAGTAGTAACATAATCAATTCTCACGCAGCAATCATGACTACTCTTAATAGAATTGAGAATTCCTTACTTTCAATTATCACATGTCACTCTAACCATTATAAATAGTGGGTAGCATTTATCATTGGTAATAGCTACAACAAGTTTATATCAATTTCCAACATTCGAATTCAATGAGCAAGTATCAGCACATCCATTATGTCACATTCATATAACTTTATAATCATCTCATTCAAGTACATTGCGCATTTCTCATTCATGAAGTATTTTCTAGATTATTCAGCAAACTTTTCCAAATTTAATATCATCAAATTGCCAATTAGTCATATGTTTTAGTTTTCTAAATGTTAGTTCTTTTGTGAACAAAACCCATTTTAATATCTTCAAACACACAAAGCTGTCATTATCATCTACCAGCAGCACATTTAACAATCTGAATACTCATAATATTTCAGGTATTATATAGAAATTTATTACCAATTTTCTTGCTTCAATTACAAACTCAAAACATTAGAATAGTTCAAATGTCCACAGATATAATAATCCAATTTGAAACACGAATCAGCAAAATTCACATCAATAGCATTCTCAACAAATTTCAGCTTCCAAAACAGCAATTAACAAGTTCAAATCAATTTTCAGTGTCCATCTCATCCAGCAACAATAATATAACACGCACATACATACATACATACATATATATATATATATATATATATATATAGCTTAGTTATTCAAGCTTCAATAATTCAGTTTGGCCTCATGACAGCATCCTTCTTAAATCTAAATTATCATCCTCATTTACTAGCTATCATCATTTTCACTCAGCTTGATTATCATCCAACAGTCTCATGGTTCCCTTAAGAAATCTAGTAGCATTTTAATAGTTTAAACCACTGTTATAATATCAATAATAGCGGCATTTTGAAAGTTATATAAAAATACTCCAGCTTCACGTATCCAGATCACACAACCATACACATATATAGTTCTTATTCCTATGCTTCCTTGAATTGAAGGTGATGGCGCGCGCGCACACAGACAGCAACAAAGACAGTACATTCTGCTATATTTTCAACCTTCAAAATACTTACATATATAATATATATACATGTACACACCAGTTCGGAAAGTGGCAAGTTGCAACACAGACATGTATATCAACTTAAATTCACGTGCAATCTGAGAACATAGATGAGCCCAGATTTCAATCAGCAATCATTCAAAGTATTCAAGAATGCAATTTTAGTTTCAGCAACTTGGACACCGCAGAAGATCAAACAGGGGCGTCCTTGCTACGGCTAAATACCAAAACAGATTTAAAAACGCAAAGCTTCGATCTCGGCAATATGACCCAGAATTTGGATGACATCTACCATCAGTGTTCAAATCTTTTCTTAAATTTACTCGGTACATTATTTTCCTTTAGTTTTAATCGCCTCTAATGCCCCCAAATCAACACCTAGAATCCGATGGCCCTCTCCCAACTCAGACCACTCTAATCGAAGAAATCAAGGACGAGAAGAGGCTGAACGGCTTACCTTGGTTAGACTCTAGTGTTGCATGTGGAATGTGGCCACTCTTCTCTCCTCCGCCACACACTTCGATTCCTGTTCTCTCGATCTCTCTCGATGGACCTTCCCTATCTCTCAGACTCTCACTCTAATATATACCATCAAGCTTATTGGATACAATTCTTGTCTAACAAAAAGAAGGGAAGCGCGTTGAAGGAAATCTGATGCAAGGAAACAGGTGGCTGAAGGTACTGAAAAGGAGGCAGAGCACGTGACACGGAGGTAAAAATTTGGGAACGACCATCGAGGGGAAAGACACAATTGGGGTAAAAGGCAAAAATGTTATTTTTGCATTATCTCAATTCTCCCCTTTTCTAAATTTTTACTTTAATCTTAAATAGTTTTTAAAATTGATCTTCAGTATTTTGTAGGAGTTTTCTTTCTTTTTAGCTTCTTTGGCTCACTAAATAATTTTCCTAAATTTTGGAGGCTGAAAATTAACCTATAACTAATTTTTTTTGGCATTTCTAAAGAAAATAAGCCTTTTATTTAGGAAAATAGATTTTAAATTATCTCTACCTTTTTATTCATCCATAAATACATTTATCTCCCAAAATAGTTATCTATAATTTTTCCTTAGTTATTTTAGGTCACTATATATTTTTAATAATTATCCTTCTTTATTTTCCTATATTTCTTACTCAATAATAGACTTTTATAGAATAATTATTTTCCTAAGGCCTTAACTAAATATTTATGCCTCTCAAACATCTTATAAATTTTTAGCTTCAAAATTTAGGATATTACAACAGTATCCATGCATACATTTAATTACATTGTCAAAAGTCAAGAGGGTTTCATAGATATACACCATTCTGTCAATGTTTTCTCCTTCTTCCTAGATGGTTCAGTCCCTAGAAAAATTCTATGCTTTTGGAAAGAATGAGATTTTATTGACATCCCAATAACAAGATAAAATCAACTATAACATCAAACATGCACTATCATCAAGCATTTCAACATTTGCTATCAATAGGAACTAGCTCTTCCTCATAAGTATTTAATTTCTAACATGTAATAGCCAAGGCATTTCAATGTAAAGAGCATCCATATAAACATTCATCATAGCTCAACCACATAGTAGCAATTATCCATGCATCAACAATCAATACAATATCAACATTAAAGTTAATTAAATCTTGCTACCTTGATCTAATTGCTTTCTTAGTCTTTGTTCTTACTCTTTTCCTCCATAAATATTGAATCCTAAACATCACATTACAAAAAAAGGCAAACACATTATGATTGAAACCACACAAGACTTAATGACAAATCTTAAGTAACCCTTAACCCTTAATTTTTTGAATTTTGGAGCTTTATTTCCTTTAACCTAAAAATTATTCTCTTAGGTCAATCTTACATAATTTTTCATGTAGAATCCAAATACAAGCTTGGATTCATGAAAAGAAAAATCCTTCCTTTCCAAACAGATTTGGGCGAATAGGGTGACACAAAAACTCTAAATTTCCAACTTTAATTTCAATGGTTCCAAAGCTTATTCTTTAGATTTGCCCTACACCATTTTTCATTTTAAACCCAAAAGAAACATCAAAACTCACAAAATCATATCCTATAGTAAGGATTCAAAGTTGGCTGAACAGCACACGCAACATCCATATCATGCAATCTTTTAAATTTCAACACAATACTACTAGAAACAAGCTATAACCAATGTGTTTCAACTAGGTTTAACATCAAAATTATCCTCCCCTTCTCTAACATATTTCTACCGGAACCTTCCCTTAGGGGAAACAACATTTTTCAACTACCCAATCCAAGAATACAAAGCAATATACAAGACAGAAAATCCTACTAACATTGTATCCAAGCTATATGATCAAAGTAGGTGGTTTTCTCTTGATTGCACTTCAAGAAAACAATTTCCAAGAACCTCCCCTGGGTTGGCTGAAAATGGTGTCTTGCGAGAGGGGCAGATGGCTATTTATAAGCCAAGCCTCATGTATTAGCCATCCAAGATTAAACTAATTACAATGATGATGTGTCAACACCCTACTCAATCTTGAACTAATTTCCCTTCTTAAAATAATTCTAAATGAAATTGATTTTTCAAAGTCAAAATCCTCTCTATACTTGGCTTGACAAGTGGCATCTTAATCCTCTCCATTCATAGCTTGACAAGTGGCATATTGTGGGTCAAGTAAAAGACAAGAGAGTGTTTTTTACTTTATTAGTACACTTTGCTCTTAAAATAATTCGTATTTTATAATTATAGTATCTTGGCCATAGTAATTGTTTTTTTTGTCAAATCTATAATACATTCTTATCATTTTTCTCTTCCCAAAATATCCTCCTTTGTTATCGTCACAATTTTTTTTATTAATAATAAAGAAGAAAACTATTTTTTCTTTCATAGTGATTTCTTTACGTGGGAAGACATTTAATAAATTTCTAAACATTTAAGAGGCTCCTTTCTACTTCATAATCTCTTATAATTCCTAGTAATGCCTTGCAAATTTTCTTTGAATTTAATTATCCTTAAAAGTATTTATTTAGAATTTTCCAAATAAGAGTCCTAATTTGGCTTAATTAGCCCTTTAATTCCTTTATAATTTTTTAAAAGTAATTTGGGAAAAAAAAACATATACACTGTCATATGATTCTCAAGGTACATTATCCTTATTTTTTCTCCATTTTCTGAGCCTCCAAAACATTTTTCATAATTAATTTCTGACTAATTTGTCTTAATTAGTCAAACTTCCAAAATTGACTAAAAATTCATAATACTTATTTTCCATCAAAATTATAACTTTTTGAGACTACTACACCCTTCAGGGGGCTCTTCCCTAGTTTTCATAATTATCCAATAATTTTTGGGAATTTTTAATATATTTTTTGAAATTACATAAACCTGTCTGTAACTTTTAGGAACTATACTTTTGTCCCGACACTAACATAACTTTAAGAGTTGTGTCCTCTCATTTTTTTCCCATCATTTTGGCCCTTAAATGTCTAGGAATATCCTTACTCCTATTTACAAAATTACTGGATGTGATATTAACCAAGGGTAAAGTGTGATAATCATATCATGACATAAGAAAATTAAAGTGATATTATCTTAATGACATCACATGAACAAGTGGCAAGATCACAAGTTTCTTAACTTAGGATTTATCCATACACGATGTGATAAAAATAAATGGCTAAGATTTTTCCACTTATACCTTGTAATTTCTTCAAACTTCAAGAGCTAAGAACTAAAGCAAGGCTCTATAAATAACCCCCCACCCATGCATTTCAGCCAAACAAGGAAAACAAGGGGAGGTTTTGTTACTTTTGAGTTTAGAGAGAGAAAAGACTATTTTTAGAGAGAGAAAGTCCACCCAAGTTCAAGAAATCACTAAGGTAAGCTCCCAAGCCTTTTGTGATTTATTGTTGAATGTTTTTATGGCTTCTTATATTGATTTGGATGGTCATTTTTCTAATGAAAAATGATGCCAAAATTTTTAGAAAATTGGAAGAATTTAGCTAAGGGTTTGAAATATTGATTAAACACCTAAAAAAGATAGGAGATTATTAGTTATGATTGAATTTTAGAAAGAAAATCCAACCCCCTATGTTAAGTATCAATTCGGCCAAAACAAGAAAATGGGGTTAGAGTTGGATTTAATTCAATTTGATGTTTGAATGTGTTTAAATGATGAAACGGTGTAGGCAGACACCAAGAAAAGAAGCTTAGAAGTACTAAAATTGAAAGTGAAAATTTTGGGAAAAATTCCCCTATGTTTTGGTCAAGTGAGATTCTATAGGGAGGAATTGGATTTTCATAAATCTAAGTGGATATTTGAATTCTACATAAAAAATTATATAGAAATGGCAAAGTCATAAGTAATAAACCAAAAATCAAAGAAAAGGGGATTAAGGGTTATTTGTATAATGTTTGGATGAAATAATAATTTGTGATGTCCTATTATGTAATCAATAGGCCTAGCATCAAATGAGAAGAAGATTTGTTTAAAGGAAAAAGCTTGAAGGAAGAGGAAAAGCTTGAAAGAGGTAGCTAGCATTTACTTTCTAAATGTTACATTGCATTGTATTTATTGCTTTTTGTTATGCTATGTTGCTATGTCATGACGTGGATGAGACGATGATGTTATGTGATATATAACTCTATGCATGTGATGTCTTGGCTTATGTAATGTTGAGTGTTATGAATGAGAAGTATGTTATGTCCTTTCCATGGCATGTGCATTAAGTGGAAGTATGTATTAGCAAATTCATATGGCATAAAATGTTTTGCTTGTGTGACATCGTGAATGTGATGTTATGCTACTAAGATTCCTATAAATCTTACCCCATGTTCAACAAAAACCTAAGGCCTTCATTATCACAAGGAAAGGGCAAGGAGGTGGCCAATGCATGAAGAAATAATGAATGAATTATGGCTTTAAACTTTTCTTGTTTTTGTGGAAGAGTACAAATTAATCTTTTATGGATGACTATATGTAACAACCTTACACAATTACATGCTAAAGTATGCTATTAAAATCAACTATGTGGTTGATTAATTGGTATGCTAAGTTAGAGAATAATTATGGAAAGGAAATATAAGGGAGGCATAGAAGTCAACCATTTGGGAGGAAACTTTGACCGATGTGAATTTGAGCAAACAAGTGAGATAAATCACAAAACTTTCTAGATCAATAGATCTCATTTTTTTCTCTTTAAAATGAGTGGTAATATGCCTTAAACAGATATTTGTGTAAAAAGTTGTGCTTATCTAAAGTTAGGCAAAAATATAAAAAAAAAATGGAAAATAACCAAATGAATAGTACAGTTTGAAAATAAAACCAGGTTTGAATTTGAAGGCAATTTGTCTAGAACTTATTTTTCCTCAAAAGCTATTCCAAAGAGATTCTAATAGAACTTAGAATCACTTAATGTTGATTTTTCTAAAATTAGTTATGAATTTTTAAAGTTTGGCCAAATTATGAGTTGTTGTGAATAATAACCTGAGGAAAAAAAAATTTCAAAGTCAAATTTTTCAAACTTTTGGCCATCAAATGTGATTCCATTTACTTCTAATTGGTTG